TAGTAGAAACTCAACGATGGACTCTGGTGAGTACGATGAGTACTGAATCAGACTCGTAATGGACGTAGTAGGGGAGTCCAACAATCCCCATCCCACTGGCTTTAGTGCTGAGCGAGGAATCACTTGATCACATCTAATCATGACTCGAAATCCATAGAATGTGAACGGTGGACTCTGGCATGTTTGGTTGATACTGAGAGGCACTCGTAATGGTTTAGATTGGGGAGTGCAACAATCCCCATCACAGACGCTCCACTTCTGACTGTGTTATCACTTGAGCACATTTCATTCCAAGTCGAAATCGGCAGAAAGTGAACGGAGGACTCTGGCGTGTTCGGTGGATACTGAAAGAGACTCGTAATGGCTGGAATAGGGGAGTGCAACAATCCCCATCACAGTCTGTTGACTTCTGACTGAGTTATCATTTGAGCACATTTCATTCCAAGTCGAAATCGGCAGAAAGTGAACGGAGGACTCTGGCGTGTTCGGTGGATACTGAAAGCGACTTGTAATGGCTGGAATAGGGGAGTGCAACAATGCCCATCACAGTCGGTTGACTTCTGACTGAGTTATCACTTGAGCACGTTTAACTCCAAGTCGAAATCCGTAGAAAGTGAATGGAGCACCCTGGCACATTTGGTGGATACTAAAAGCCACTCGTAATGGTTTATATGGGGGAGTGCAAGAATCTCCATCACAGTCGCATCAATTCTGACTGAGGCATCACTTGATTACATTTAATTCCAAGTAGAAATCCGTAGAATGTGAGCGGAGGACTCTGGCATGTTCAGTGGATACTGAAAGGGACTCGTAATGGTTTAGATTGGGGAGTGCAACAATCCCCATCACAGTCGCTCCACTTCTGAGTGAGTATTCACTTGATCCCATTAATTACCAGTCGAGATCCTTAGAAACTGAACGGGGCACTCTGGTGTGTTTGGTGGATCCTGAAAGTGAGTTGTAATGGCTGGAATAGGGGAATCCAACAATCCCCATCATACCTGCTTCACTTCTGAGTCAGTAATCACTTGATCAAATATTCTTCCAAATCGAAATTAGTAGAAACTCAACGATGGACTCTGGCGAGTACGATGGGTACTGAATCAGACTCGTAATATGATGGAATAGGGTAGTGCAACGATCCCCATCCCTCTCTCTTCAGTTCTGAGTCAGTAATCACTTGACCACATTTAATCTGTAGTCAAAATCCATAGAAAGTGAATGGAGGACTCTGGCGTGTTCGGTGGATACTGAAGGCGGCTCGTAATGGGTGGAATAGCTGGGAACAACAATTTCCATCACAATCACTTCACGTCTGAGTCAGGAATTTCTTGATCAGGTATAATTCCAAGTCTAAATCTGTGGAAACCCAACGATGGACTCTGGCAAGTTCGGTGGGTACTGCATCAGACTCATAATCATTGGAATAGGGGAGTCCAACAATTCCCATCACAGTCGCTCCATTTCTGAGTGAGTAATCACTTCCTCACATTGAATTACCAGTCAAAATCTGTAGAAAGTGAACAGAGGACTCCGTCTGATGTGTTTGGTGGATACTGCAATAGACTCATAATGGCTGCAATAGGGGAGTGCATCAATCTCTATCATAATAGTTGTATTTCTGTGGCAGGAATCCTTTGATCACATTTAATGACCAGCCAAAATCCTTGGAAAGTGAATGGGGTAGTCTGACGTGTTCGGTGGATACCCAAACAGATTCGTAATGGCTGGAATGGGGGAGACCATTGATCCAGTCCAGATTATTGGAGTTTGTGAAATGACCTGTATGTAGGCAATGTATCAAAGTCCTATCATATAAAGCTACATAAGCGAAGCACCTACCCTTACCCAAGTTGTAAGTCACAAAATATATTTTATTCTGAGATTTGCTATGGTACAATGGTAGATAGTGGTCCCTACTGTATTATACACCATACATTTATATACAAGGCATCAGGGCATTGTATACAAACCGTGGTCCCAGCATGCGCGCGACTCACAAGAGCTGGGAGGTGACGGAAAAAGAGAAAAGAAAAGATTGAAGAATAACTGCTCGCACAATCTCAAGTGTACTTGGTGCATCGTATTCCTACAGTCATCGTGAGCCACAATCACCAGCCCTTGAGGCGGGGCGAGGCATTTCGGCATTGGCGCGATGCTCGATGTCGGCGGCGGTGACAGTACATCCACGGCGCCGGCAGCAGTCGCGGAGGCGAACAATCGCCAGAGAGGGTGGGTGTGGGTGATAGGAATATGGCCCCGTCGAAACACACGTGCTCGCGTGCTCTCTGGGGCCGGCGAGAGGGGGTTGGGTGGAAGGGGGAGGAGGAGGGTAGAAGTAATTTGATAGAATATTAAGCACTCACTGGATCGCAAAGACGGATATAGCATCGTATTCCTATGACCCGTGCGAGTCAGAAACACCGCGCGTCTACGCAGTGAGAGCCCTTTCGACGTCGGCGTGATGCACGATGTCGGCGGCGGTGACGGACCGTTCGTGGCGCCGGCAGCAGTCAGGGAAGTGAATGGCGGGTGGAGAGGGTGGGTGTGGGTGGTAGGAACATGGTCCCGTCGAGACGCGCGAGCTCGCGCGCTCTCCGGGGCCGGCGAGAGGGGGATGGATGCGAGGGGGAGAAGGGTAGAAATAAATTGATAGAATATTAAGGACTCACCTAACAGGAAACCCGCAAGCAGCGTTGCGTTCCTACTACTTGTGCGATGCTGAAACACCCGCTGTTGAGGCGGGGGGTTGAGGTTTGAGGTCGGCGCGAAGTACGGCGATGGGGAGGTCGACAGCGACGACGGCGGCGGCGGCGGCGGTCGAGATAGCGAGCGGCTGCCGGACGCGTTGCCCACAGGGTATCCGGGACGGGGGGCGTCGGACGTCGGACGTTTAGGGGCTGTCTGGAGCCGGCGCGAGGTTGGGAGGGGGCAGGAGGGGAGGAGGGAAACAAAAAATGAAATACAACATTGACGAGGGAGAGCCGCATGGTGGCTCGCTCTCGTCAATGTCCCTAAACTCGTAGGAGCCAGGAACAGGCGTCCGCTGTCAAGCGGATGGCCTGCTGAAGGAGGGACGGGCGGGGAGGTATTGGGAGGAGAAAAGAGAAAATCGAAGATTGTGGCAGAACGGGTGCACAGATTTGTGCACCCATTTCTGCCACAGCTTCGTAAGGTAGTCCCCAGGCAGAAATGACATCGAACACCAGAACGCGCGCGCGTTCTGAGGTTCGATGTCGCGCGACGCGCGCGCGCCGACGACGGCGACGAGGGCGTCGACGGGCATCTCACAGCTCAGAACGCACCTCCTCGCGCTAGTGTAGCACAAGGAGGTGCGTTCGAACCTGAAGACGCGTAGCTGGCGCCTTCGGGTCCGTCGCAAAACGGGGTTGTAGGGAGGGGGGGCTGAGCCCCGGTAGGATTGAGAAGAGCTCGACGACGAGACAACGCGCTGCTATAGCGCGTGTCTCGTCGTCGTCCTCACTTCACCTGGAGTCAGGGAATTGCCTCCCATCCGAAGATGAGAGGCCGGGGAAGTGGGGAGGAAGGGGGAGGGGGGAGGAGGCAAAAAACGGAAAAACCTAAATTTAAAGCGAACCGCGCCGCCGATTTACGCGGCGCGGGTATCGTTCGTTTCCCAGAGTCGAGGAGAGTCGGGAGAGACATCGAAACGCAGAATGCGGCGGCATTCTGCGTTCCGACGTTCGGGAGGGTGGGCGGTCGTGCGGCGGCGAATGTGACCGGTCTTGAGTGTGCGCGAGGGCGCGGTTCAGTCCAGAAGGCGAGGGACAACCTCTCAGAAGGTTGTCCACCTATAAGAAAACATATCCGAGCCAGCATGACCTGCCCGCGAACGAGCGCGAGGCAGACATGCCAGCCCAAGCATCAAATAATAAAACATCGAAAATAAGTGAGATAACTTACCCGGTGCCCTTGTCCTCAAATCACTGACCCTCCACCGGTTGTATCCACCACATGCAAAGTCCATCCCTGTCTTGAGAAAGCGACGGCGCCGGCGTCGAGTATGTCGAGAGCGTGTAGGGAGCGAGACGCGGACTTAGCGTCTCGCGCGCGTTCGGCTGTTCCCGAGCTGCCTCGCTCAGGCTGTAGAGCACTAATTACAGCAAGTAAAATAGTAGTCTAGGGCTTTACATGCCCTCTGAATGCAATAAAAGACATTAGAATGTATTAAGTATAAAGAGGAAAATGAAGAAAGGAGGAATGAAAGTAGAAGGAGATGAATAGGAGAGGGTGGGAGGATCAGGGTAGCCTTAAAGGCCCGTAGCCTCGACAGCACTGGCGCGGATCGAACTAGCGACGTTGCCTCTATACCCAGAATCCCGGGCTCACTGACCGTTACACCATGTACGGTTATTAGCCAGGCGCATTCATTCATTATATACCGTCTCGGGCTCTAGTTCAGCTAATAGTACTGGCTACTTATTTTTTGTTTGTTGTATGGCTATTGCACTTGTGTATATAATATAATGCAATGTATGCTACATTACAAAGTAATCTATGGAGGCCTTGGACATTGTATATTAATATCAATCCGAGGCCGCGCCAGAGCTTCGGGAGGGTGTGACCCAGTCAAGACAAAATAAAAGATAAAGAAATAAGTACTGAGCCAAACACTGAGATAATTACAGTCCCGCATTCCTACGAGGTGCGCGAGCCAGAACTACCCTGCGTCTATGCGGGGCGATGTGTTTTGACGTCGGCGTGATGCACGACGTCGGCGGCGGTGACGGACGGTTCGCGGCGCCGGCAGCGGTCGCGGAAGCGAACAGTGGCCGGAGAGCATGGATGTGGGTAGTAAGAACGCGGCCCCGTTGAAACGCGCGAGGTCGCGCGCTCTCCGGGGCCGGCGAGAGGGGGGTTGATGGAAGGGGGAGGAGGAGGGTAGAAACAATTCGATAGAATATTTAGTACTTACCTGATGGAAAAGACGCATACAGCATTGTGTTACTACCCCTCCCGCAATCCCGAAACACCCAAAGCTAGGGCGGAGCAGTACGATTTGATGTCGGCGCGAAGGCTCCATCGGGGAGGGCGACGGCGGCGACGGCGGCGGCGGCAGCGGTCGAGACAGCGAGCAGCTCCTGTACGCGTAACCCACAGGATGTGCAGGACGGGGGACGTCGAATGTGGAGCGTTTCGGGGCCTTCCAGAGCCGGCGCGAGGTGGGGAAGGGGGAGGTAGGGAGAGGGCGACAAGAAATGAAATACAACATTGACGAGGGAGAGCCATGTACTGGCTCGCTCTCGTCAATGTCCCGGTACGCGTAGGAGGCGAGAACAGGTGTCCGCTTGTCAGCGGACGGCCTGCTGAAGGAGGGACAGGCGGGGAGGGGTCGGGAGGGGTGATACAGGAAATCGAAGATTGTGGCAGAACGGGTGCACAGATGTGTGCACCCCTTTCTGCCAAAGCTTCAGTTACTATTCCCCACCCATAAATGACATCAAACAACAGAACACGCTTGCGTTCTGTTGTTCGACGTCGGGCGACGCGCGCACGGGGACGACGTCGTCGATGGCGTCGACGACCGTCCCACAGCTCAGAACGCACCTCCTCGCGCTAGCGTAGCACAAGGAGGTGCGTTCTGACCCAAAGACGCCTACCTGGCGCCTTCGGGTCCATCGCAGACGCCGGGTGTAGTGAGGGGGGGAGGGGCCGTGTAGAGATGGCCATAACTCAACGACGAGACCTCGCACACTCAAGGCGCGCATCTCATCGTCGTCCTGACTCCAAGAGGAGTCAGAAAACGGCCTCCTATCCGAGGATAGGTGACCGGGGAAGCGGGAGGGAGGGGAGGGGGAGAAAGGTTGAAAAACAGAGAAAATGAAATAAAACAACAACGGCGCCGCTGATTTGCGCGGCGCCGGTGTCATTGGTTTCCTGTAGTCGATCAGAGTCGAGGATGATGTCGAAACCCAGAATGCAGCGGTGTTCTGGGTTCCGACATCGGGGGGACCGCGAGGGGAGCGGGCGGGCGGGCGGCGATCTTGGGGCGATTGTACGCGTCCGGGCTGCTTCCATATAAAAGATACAACCTATTAGATGGTTGTAAACCTGTAAGACAAAGGTTTGGGCCCAGCACGACCCGCTCACGATGAGCCGTGAGGCGGGCATGCCAGTC